GCCTTCAACAAAGTAAAGGGGGGATACTTTGACATTTGAATATAACATATACAACATATACTTTTTTTGTTACCTAATTCTCTGTATTTTCTATACGTATATAAAATGTAGAAAGAAACACAGAAACAAAGAAAAAACTGTGAAAAACATTGAATGAGGGTGTCCAAACCTTTCACTAACAGTGTATGTATTTGTTTAGTTTTAATCAGCCAAAGTATGATTTAAGTCCAGCAAATGAACAGTTTGAACACAGGCCTTTAATAAAATCCCTTCTGTTGTCAGGCCCACACAAGTGTACTCCAGATCTGGACCCAGCGCTGTGTCTCTGAGAAGTCACGACTCCAAGGACAACTGGGTGGATTTTAAAAAGTGAGTTCTTTGTTAAGATGTTTGTAGTCATTAGTTTTGCAAGAGATTTTAATTTCATTTTAAATAAGATTTAGTCAAACATTAATTTTTTTTAGTCTGTCAAGCATAATGCTCTTTATTCGACTCTACCCATAATATTCACGTCTTGGGCTCTTTTTGAAGACAATACAGTAGATGATGTATTTACCTTGTTGCCATGTTTCGGCTGGTCACTGTGAGACATCATCAGATCTGTCCCCGGTGTTGGTAGTGATGAGTCGTCAGCTGTTGAAGGTGTGGTCAGTCTGATGGACCTGGTGCGTTGCTCAGACTGACCACACCTCCTCAGCCATATCAGATCTCTGTAAAAGAAAGAACCACATTATGCATTTGGACAGGGCAGGGTTCAGTGGGTCAGAAAACAACAAGATCACAACCATTGAAATCAGGAAATGAGGCATGCACACCATCACTCATCATGATGAAGCGTGGTCAGTCTGAGTGATCTGGGAAAATGATTGTATAATTGTGTTGCTTCAGGACAAAAGTCAAGACTTGTGAATACTTCATTCTTTTATGTTTGGTGGTCTGCAGATCTGGGCCCAGCGTTGTGTCTCTGAAAAGTCACGACTCCAAGGACAACTGGGTGGATTTTAAAAAGTGAGTTCTTTGTTTAGATGTTTGTAGTCATTAGTTTTGGAAGAGATTTTAATTTCATTTTAAACAAGATTTAGTCAAACATTAAATGTTTTAAATCTGTCAAACATCATGCTCTTTATTCAACTCCACCCATAATATTCACTTCTTGGGTTCTTTTTGAAGACAATACAGTAGATGATGTATTTACCTCGTTGATGTTTCAGCTGGTAACTGTGATGAAGCGTGGTCAGTCTGAGTGATCTGGGAATATGATTGTATAATTGTGTTGCTCCAGGACAAAAGTTGAGACTTGTGAATACTTCATTCATTTATGTTTGGTGGTCTGCAGATCTGGGCCCAGCGCTGTGTCTCTGAAAAGTCACGACTCCAGGGACCAGTGGGTGGAATTTAAAGGGTGAGTATTTTGTTTAGATGTTCGTGATCATCTGCCAAGATTTAGTCAAACTATTCTTTTTTATTTGGGTCTAGACGACTAAATCCACAAGTTTTAGTCAACCAATGGTTATTGCTTTGCACATGTACTTTTTAATGAATTTTTACTTTGTGCTGCAAGATGGATTATTGTGACATTTGTGAGTTCACAAATTCACGAGAATCCATCTTAAGATTCTCCCGTTGTAAGGTTCAACTTCAGCCAGCAGAGAGCGACCAATCACGTCGCAGCACTGAGGATTGTGCAAAGACGAGGTGCCCAAATGAACCAAGACAAACATGGCAACGCTGATAGACTGATAAATGTAGAGCTCAATTCAGAGTGACACACTTATCAATCTAGTGTGAGCTTGGTTACATTCATTTATGCTTTTATTCTTTGAAAAAAAAAAAAAATAGACAGTGTCTACATTCTGTCTTATGGTTCTGGCTGATGAAAATCTTTAGTCATGATCACTGTCATCTAGACTGATTCATCAATCAGTTTCACTTCGTGGAAACTGTGTGACCTCGCAGCATTAGGATTTGTTCACTCGACGGTAGGCGGGTACTTTTTTTATTTAACGAATCTCTGCTATTTGGTCATGACGTATGTAATGCTCCAAATCCTGTAGGAAGAAGAACAATAACATCTTTTCCCTTGATAAAATTCACCAAACATTCTCTTTATTCCGGCTTTAAATCCTCGACCTGGGGAATCGTTGCCAACACAGATTGTCTGTCTTCGTCTACATCCATTTCGATGTTTTGTTTACTGTTGTGCTGTTCCACAAAAGGGACACAGACAGACATGGTGAGTTTGACGTCATGGCTTCACAGCTCACAGCTGATTGGCCGGTGTGCCCTCTACAACGTCCGGGGTTCTTGGGGTCTAGTGTATTCTGATTCCTGATCTAGTCACTAGACTCTAGAGAGAAATGAAATTGAGCGAAGGCTCTAGTTGTTTCTTCTTCATTTCTGTCATTATTTCTACTGCAGAAGAACAATGAAGGCGTCAGAACTATGAATACTGTAGTGGAGGAAATCACCAGTGGCCTTTCATAAAATCACTGTCCATTCTGCTCTGTCCTTTTTGTTGTCAGGCCCACACCAGGGAACTCCAGACCTGGACCCAACTTTGAGTCTCTGAGAAGTCAGGACTCCAGGGACCAGTGGGTGGAGTTTCAAAAGTGAGTACTTTGTTTATATGTTTGTAGTTATTTGTGTTAAAGTGAAGTGAACACAAAGTCAGTGTTTTTGCTTTTAAACTGTGGTGTTTTCAGAGAATTATCTACTGTCCCCGGTCATTTTGTCCATTTTAGTGTGAACCAGGCAAATGTACAGTTTTCTGGTCATAAACATTTAAATTGAAGTTTGTGCTGCCTTCAGTGGTCTCTGCGATTTGAAGAATCTGATTACAGTCAGGAGTTTCTGTGTGGAGACCTGTTCGACCAATCACACTGCTCCTTATAAGCCCAGACCCCGCCCCTCCTCTTCTCCCCTCTCCCCTTTAACCCTCCATGAATTAGTTTATTTAGTACCACTTCAGTTTTGAGATTTCAATTTAGTTTTAGTATGTTTTTCTTTTTTGAATGTGATTGTATAATTGTATTGCATTACTTCAAGGACAAAAGTCGAGACTTGTGAATACTTCATTCTTTTATGTTTGGTGGTCTGCAGATCTGGGCCCAGCGCTGTGTCTCTGAAAAGTCACGACTCCAAGGACAACTGGGTGGATTTTAAAAAGTGAGTTCTTTGTTTAGATGTTTGTAGTCATTAGTTTTGGAAGAGATTTTAATTTCATTTTAAACAAGATTTAGTCAAACATTATTTTTTTTAGTCTGTCAAACATCATGCTCTTTATTCAACTCTACCCATAATATTCACTTCTTGGGTTCTTTTTGAAGACAATACAGTAGATGATGTATTTACCTCATTGATGTTTTCAGCTGGTAACTGTGATGAAGCGTGGTCAGTCTGAGTGATCTGGGAATATGATTGTATAATTGTGTTGCTTCAGGACAAAAGTCGAGACTTGTGAATACTTCATTCATTTATGTTTGGTGGTCTGCAGATCTGGGCCCAGCGCTGTGTCTCTGAAAAGTCACGACTCCAGGGACCAGTGGGTGGAATTTAAAGGGTGAGTATTTTGTTTAGATGTTTGTGATCATCTGCCAAGATTTAGTCAAACTATTCTTTTTATTTTGGGTCTAGACAATTAAATCCACAAGTTTTAGTCAACCAATGATTACTGCATTGCTCATGTACTTTTTAATAAATTTTTACTTTGTGCAGCAAGATGGATTATCGTGACATTTGTGAGTTCACAAATTCACGAGGATCCATTAAGGTTCTCCTGCCTTAAGATTTAATTCAGCCAGCACAGAGCGACCAATCATGTTGTAGTAAAGGCGAGGTGCCCAAACGAACCAAAACAAACATGGCGACGCCAATAGATTGGACATTTGTGAGTTCACAAATTCACGAGAATCCATCTTAAGATTCTCCCGCTGTAAGGTTCAACTACAGCCAGCACAGAGCGACCAATCACGTCGCAGTAAAGACGAGGTGCCCAAACGAACCAAAACAAACATGGCGACGCCGACAGGTTGATAAATGTAGAGCTCAATTCAGAGTGACACACTTATCAATCTGGTGTGAGTCTGGTTACATTCATTTATGCTTTTATTCTTTGGTAAAAATAGACAGTGTCTACATTCTGTCTTATGGTTCTGGCTGATGAAAATCTTTAGTCATGATTATTGTCATCTCCACTACCAGTCAAAAACTTGGACACACTTTTTCATTTATGTTTCTTCTTCATTTCCATGATTATTTCTACTGTAGATGAACAATGAAGGCATCAGAACTATGAATACCCCTTTTACCCTCCACGTGTTGGTTTATTTAGTACCACTTCAATTTTGAGATTTAAATTAAGTTTTTGTATGTTTTTCTTTTCTAAATATGATTGTATAATTGTATTGCATTACTTCAAGGACAAAAGTCGAGACTTGTGAATACTTCATTCATTTATGTTTGGTGGTCTGCAGATCTGGGCCCAGCGCTGTGTCTCTGAAAAGTCACGACTCCAGGGACCAGTGGGTGGAATTTAAAGGGTGAGTATTTTGTTTAGATGTTTGGGAGGTTTGTCATACTGTCATCGTTATTATCCATTCTGTGTTGTCCTTTCTGTTCCTGCAGAGACAGTTCACTGGAGTCCAAGTCCAAGTTTCCTCTGAAGTCTCGCAAAAGTAGCGACAATATTCTAAACTCACAGCAAAATCCTCAGTCCACCAAAAAGTAAGTTGACAAATGTAAAGGTAGCCTACATTATGTAACTCTTCTGGCTGTTCCAGAGTGTGGCATTAAACTTCATTTGTCTTTAAGTATATTTTTGAGCAATAACAGACGAATAAATGAATGAATGAAAGACAGACAAATATAACGCTGTAGTGGTCTGGATTGCAAGAGCCAAGTTTCACAGTGCATCTTTAAATATCCTTAAATATCCTGCATTTATTTTATGGTACAGTGTTTTGTTTCTAATATAAAATAAATGTGTATAAATCTCTTCCACAGGGTCAAGGGTCAACGCAGAAGTGAACTGGACCACATATTTAAGGTAGAGTGCATTTGAAATATGACTTTAAGTTTAAATGTGTAGCTGGCTAGTAGTGAGATAAGTAAAGTTTATTTATATATCGTGTTTCACAGACTTAGGTCACAAAGTGCTTCACATATAAAAGATAAAAACAGCAGAAGATTCATTCATAATAAAATCAGTCAGAGCAGTTAAAAACATCTAAATGATCTAGAGAGCGTAGGTGAGGAGGCAGTTTGCTCCAGAGTTTAGGGGAGACGGACTGAAAGTTACTGTTGCTTGTGTTTTAAAACTTATCCGAGGGACCGTGAGCAGGTTCTGGCTGGTGGACCTCAAGCTACGGGCGGAGATGTACAGCTTAATCAGAAGTGAGATGTAAGCAGGAGTCTGGTCATGCAGGGCCCTAAAGGTCACCACCAGGATCTTAAAGTGGACATGAAAAAGAACAGGGAGCCACTGTAAGGATTTTAAGATCAGAGTGATGTGAGATCTCCTGCTGTTGTGGGTCAGAGCTTTGGGGCTGAGTTTTGGACCATCTGCAGTCGGGTCAGTTCCTTCTTACTCAGGCAAGTAAACTGTTACACTGACTGTGGCGAGGAGAATATTCAGTTTGTCGACTGGATAAAAGACGTTTCACAGCTCATCCAAGTTGCTTCTTCAGTTCAACCAAACTAACTTTTGTCCGGTCGACAAACTGAATTATTTCCTTGTCGTGGATTCTACGACTGAGGGATTCTTCACACATCTCGAGAACAACTACAAGTCAGCTACCGTTGGACTGGTAAGGAAGCTGGAAAAGGACACTAAAAAGTTAGCAGAAAAAAGGAATCATTTACGCTTTAACCTTACACAACTGAAGAAGCAACCACCTGTCACTTATTTTGGACCTGCCCAGACTCTGTGTGTTTTTGGAAATAATTCATAAAACATAAACACAACTTCTTCTCCCATTTGACCCTTTCTTATAAAGATGTGCTGTTTGTTTTTAGCAGTGTGCATCATACCAGAAGTCAACAATATTATATCACGAATCTGTTAATCAAGTAACCTGTCATTAAATTGATAACGTCCCCACTAAAGCCGAGACCAAGCCTACGCCCTTGTGAATCACCATCTCTATCTCAGCTTTAGAAATCATCGTGTGAAGTTTAAATATGTTTCACAGTTGGAAAAAGCAGTTTTTAGTGCTATTTTAAAGACATCTCATCATCAGAAAATACTCTTAGATTTCTTAAGTTATTTCTAATTGAATTTCCCAGGGCTCTTCAGTGCTGTTTAATGTTGGGGACAGGACTTTCTGGAGCAACAATAAGAGTCTGGGTTTTGTCTGGCTCAGATGAAGGCTGTTATCACTGAGCCACTGTTTAACATGTGACAGACAGATGAGGAAAGATCAGCTTATGTGTTTCTGAGGTAAACTAAACTGCTGTATAATTGAGCCCAGAACATGATCATCACTAGTACATGTGGGATTTTGAAATATTGAGAAATACACTCTTGACTGTATTACACATTCTGTACTGCACTAGTACTCTTTCTTGAGTTAAAGTTTTGATTACTTCTGAGTAAGATGTATGTTGGTAGTATGAAATGATTTGAATATTTGTGTTTCTTGTACTGCTTCTTCAGATTTAGTTTGCCTAATTTTTTTTTTGTCTTTTTTTACTTTTACTTGAGTATATGCCCTAGACCAAACATGTCAAACTCAGGCTCTGGGGCCAAATTCGGCCTGTGATATAATTATATTTGACCCCTTGAGATCATATCAAACATGTGTTAGAGCTGCCCACCACCTACAGATAAACTATAGAGAAATGGTTTATTTTAAATGTTATTATTTTATATTCTGCTTGTTCTGGATTCAATGTTTAGGCAAAACTATTATGAAACATTTATTTGAATAAGAAAAGGTTTAACATTACAGATCTCGAAAGAAGAGAAAACATGCAGATGTTGTTCAAATTTTTCAATAAATATTTAATTTGACCCATGACTTAGTCCCAGTTTTTAATTTTAGCCTCTGTGAATTTGAGTTTGACACTCGTGATCTAGCTCGTTCATTTTTATTTTGAACAACATTATTATAGAGTAACAGTAGTCTTACTCGAGTAGTATTTTGGGCTTCTCTCACACCTCTACTCAAATGTCCTGGTCAGGTTCTGGAGGAGAAGATCAGTGCGTTTATGAGGGACGAGCTGAGGAGGTTCTGTGACGTTCTGAGCTCTGAGTCTTCAGTGCACGTGACGGAGGGGGGTGAGGAGAGGCAGAGGAGCAGCGAGGCCTTCCTCAAGATCACTCGCTTCTTCTTGCTCCAGATTGGAGAGGAGGAGCTGGCCCACCGGCTGCACAACCGTAAGACATGACACTTTAATACAACACAGTGCACTTACATGTAACTGCCCTTTCAGCTGAACACATCAGTTAAAGAGCTCGCATTACTCTATTTTCTTATCTTGGTTGTTTCCTCACTAAACATACCACACACCTTCACTAGAATCATTTGGATTTCATCCCTGGAACTGCCCATCTCGAATGAACTCAAGGTCAAATGTAGCTGTTCACTTGAAAACTACCAGTACAACATCACAAGATGGAACAGAGCATTTTGTACTTTGGAGATGTAGACAGACTAATAATAAATCAGAACTCATTTGTGAATGAAACAAAACTCCAGGTATGTTTTTAGGAGGAAATAACATGTCTTAAAGTTTACCAGAATCTATTTTGTGTAATATAGGATCTTTAATGCAAATGTCCCAAAGAGTTGACACTACAAAAAGAATAAACTCCCACATGTAATCACTAGTTTCATGTGGATGTGTCGTCTCATTCATGCAGGAGTGCTCCATACTCACACAAGCCTTGTTTTCACTGGTTCACTTTGGAGTGGATCGGTTTGGCACAAAGTGTCTCCACTGTCTACTGTGCACCGGTGGTCAGTGAACCACACCGCCCCGTTTAAGAGTCTGAAGTGGACCTTGGAGAGCACTAGCTCCCAGAGAGGATGGTTCAATGATAGGTTTAGTTAAATGTGGTAAACACAGCCAAAAGAGATGGTGAACAAGATGGTGAACAGCAGATAAACATAAGATAATAATTTCTCACCTAATGTGACTTGATCATGATACGCCATAGTATTTCCACTGATGTGGTTTGTGTCAAATGTGGTGAGAGACGCAGAGAGGTGAAATACAGAAAAAGCTTTAGTTACATCTCACAGCTCCACAAACTTTATTACCAAACGTGTTTGAACTGAACAGAGCTCTGCCCCTGGACCCGGAGCTGCACTTCACAGGTAGCCCCAAGCAAACTGTGCCAAAGGAAAAGAGGCTATAGCTTTACAAGGTGCCAGGACATTATACACCTTTGCACTAAAAATGCAGGGAACAGTTGACAAGGCTAATCAAACACATTATACACAATTTAGCAGAAAAGAAAGGTTTAGTTAAACTTTAACTTTGAGCTAAAGATAAGGATTTGTACCTTCAGCCTAACTTGTTGCCTAATGACCTGTTGTCTTCCTCCAGAGATACATTATCCTGATGTCTGTCGGCACAAACTCAAGGCCAACCTGGGGCGCAGGTATCGGTCCGTGTACGAGGGCGTGGCCAAAGCAGGACAACCCACCCTCCTGAAGAACATCTACACAGAGCTTCACATCACAGATGGCAGCACCGCAGAGGGAGAGAGCAACACAGACCTCACCCACAGCCCACACACAAGCATCACACTGCACGACATCTTCCCAGACTCCAGCCACCAGAGTGAGCCAATCAGGACTGTGGTGATGAAGGGCGTGGCCGGTGCGGGGAAAACACTGTCAACTCAGAAGTTCTGTCTGGACTGGGCTGAAGGCAGGGCCCACCAAGACATCCAACTTCTGTTTCCACTCCCGTTCAGAGAGCTCAATGTGCTCAGAGACACACAGTTCAGCCTGGTGGGACTGGTCCACCACTTCTTCAATGAAACCAAGAAGACGCGCCTCCAGAGCTTCAAAAGCCTCAAGGTACTGTCGTCATTATGAGGAACAGGTTAGATGAGCACACACCATGAAAGCTGTGAAAATGGTAGTGGAGCTGAGAACAATCTGAGACACTCTTGTGTAGAAAAGTAATAAAAGCTGTTTTTGATACATGGACAGGTATCACTACTGTTTTCACAACTTTCACAAGCCAACTCTGTTCCTTGTCTGTTTTTGGCCTCATCCTTGAAGAGCATCGATGTTTTATACCCTACAGCTCCACATTCCGAAGCCCTTCAGACTTATCTCCTGCTTTTTAATCTCTTCTGTTTGCATGTTTTTCAAAAACAAAATAGTCTGTATTGCTGCTTAGTCTAAGGCTAAGCCTTAAATTGGATCTGTGTCATTCAGACTGTCATTAAAAGATCAGATACAGGAGCATGGGGTGAAAAATCGTATTTGGGTCACTTCAGGCTGCAGTCTGAATGTAACCTAAGTACATTCTTCAGCACCAACATGTTTGTTTTGGTTTGTTTGTGCATCCGAACCATAATTCTACATTGTGATTGGTTTGAGCCACTGGTGGACTGTGCCCAATCACAACAGCAGGAGCCTGACCAGATGGATTCTCATGAATTTGTGAACAAATGGACAAATATCACAAGAATTCATCTTGCAGGCCAGGTTAAATTTATAACCTTGTTTGAAGGTAGACGTGTTGCTTGATGAAGTCATTTTTAATAGTTTTAATTACAGAATTATACTATAATGATATACTGTCATGTTGCATGTCTCCTAAACAATTGCGATATTATACATTTTCCGATATGTCTCTCCACTCTACCTGCAGGTGCTCTTCATCTTGGACGGTCTGGATGAGAGCCAGATCTCTCTGGACTTCAAAAGAACCAAAGCTGTCTCAGATGCCACAGAGAGTGTGTCCATGGACGTGCTCCTGGTCAACCTCCTCCGGGGCAACCTGCTCCCCTCTGCTCACATCTGGATCACCACAAGACCTGCAGCAGCCAATCAGATCCCTGCTGAATGTGTTTCCATGGTGACAGAGGTCAACGGATTCACCAACCCACAGAAAGATAAATACTTTAGTTTGAAATTCAAAAACCAGACCCAAGCTAACGCCATCATCTCGCACGTCAAGGGCACCAGAAGTCTGTACATGATGTGCCAGATCCCGGTCTTCTGCTGGATCCTCAACACTGTCCTGCTCCATGTTCTGAAGACGGGCACCCTACAGCAGCTGCCCCAGACCCTCACCGAGATGTACATTCATTTCCTGGTGGTGCAGACTAAACTCAAACGCCTCAAATACGATGGCCATTCTCAGACGGACACTGCCTGGAGTCCAGAGACCAAGAAGATGGTGCGGTCTCTGGGAAAACTGGCCTTTGAGCAGCTGCAGAAAGGAAACCTGAGCTTCTACGATTGTGACCTGAACAAGTGTGGGCTGGACACTGAAGCTGCCTCAGTGTACTCCGGAGTGTTCACTCAGGTCTACAGGGAGGAGTCCGGACTGTACCAGGAAAAGGTTTACTGCTTCGTCCATCCGAGTGTGCAGGAGTTTCTGGCTGCTCTTCACGTCCATCAGACCTTCATCAACTCTGGGACCAACCTTCTGTCTGAGGAGCAAACAGTGTCTATACGCTCAGTGCTTTTTGGCAACAGCTCAGAGAAGTTCTACCAGACTGCTGTGGACAAGATGTTACAAAGCCCCAGTGGAGACCTGGACCTGTTCATTCGCTTCCTCCTGGGTCTTTCTCTGCCTTCGAACCAGAATCTTCTCCAAGGTTTGGTGAAACACTCTGGCTCTAGTGTTAAGTTGCCTCAGAAGATGGCCGAGTACATCACGCAGAAGCTGGAGGAGGGCTTAGGTCCGGAGAAGATTATGAGCCTGTTCCACTGTCTGAACGAGCTGAAGGAGCGCAACCTCGTCGAGCAGATCCAAGCGCGCCTAAGCTCAGGGAGGCCCATTAGAGAGAGGCTGTCCCAGGCTCAGTGGTCCGCACTGCTCTTCATCCTGCTCTCCTCAGATCATCTAGAGACATTTGAGCTGAAGAAGTACTGTGCCTCAGAAGAGGCTCTGCTCAAGCTGCTGCCAGTGGTCAAGGCCTCCTCCACAGCCCTGTGAGTGTTAGTGCTATGTGTCAGTCAAGTTGTCAGCCAATTTCTACTCTAATGTGGAAGCCACTGGACTTGTTTCTTTTTGATTAAGTCATTTTAGATCAATCATGCAATTTAAAATGTTCAAATTATAACATAATGATCCACGGGTGTCATAGAGCATAACTATATAACAGATAATGTGTCTAAGTCTTGTGAAACTGTTTGTCTGTCTGTGCAGGCTGAGCAGCTGTGACCTGACAGAGAAGAGCTGTGAGGTGCTGGGTAAGATGATCAGCTCTCCGGACTGTGCTCTGACAGACCTGGACCTCAGCTACAATCAGCTGAGAGACCCAGGCCTGAAGTATCTGGCCCAGGCCCTGACGAGCCCCCACTGCAGACTGCAGCGGCTCAGGTGAAACACCTCAGACACTCACTGCTTTTAGTGCTTTTGTACTTTTACTATCATGAGCTTTCCACCATGTCATACCATTGTTCCTGCATCAAAAACATGCCTGAAGAGGTTTTAAATATCATCCATGCATGTTTTGTAATTTTGTGATCTCTCCCAGGCCCGAGCCTTATGTTTAACTGTAAGATTCTGTGCAATGCTCCGCCCACAAGTGTACATCACCCATGTCCCCACACGACAATTCTCCATAAATATAGAAAATACAAAATGATACAAATGATACAAAACTGTACACCTGATGTGATGTGCTGTAGCTTTATTAGTGGGATTCATGTTAATTGTGTTGTGATGGTGCACTGAAGGGGGAGTGACTTAACAAGGAGAGACTCAGAGCATAATGAAAAATGAAAATTAAACACGCAAACAAACAGGGCATTTTCAATAGAATAAAACATAACATGATGACCTAAATATATGTGTTAACAGGTAATAGCCCATAGAAGTAAAATACTCTAAAATACTTGATGTGTGTTGTGTGCTGTGTGTTGTGTATTGTGTGCTGTGTGTTGTGTGTTGTGTATTGTGTGCTGTGTCCTGTGTGCTGTGTCCTGTGTGTTATGTGTTGTGTGTATTCCCACATGTGCAGATTGGCGGGCTGTCATGTGACTGAAGTGGGCTGTCTGTCTCTGGCCTCGGCTCTGAGCTCACACCAGACCCACCTCACCCTGCTGGACCTGAGCCAAAACCACCCCGGCCCCTCTGGAGTCAAGAAGCTGTCTGCCCTGCAGGGGGCGCCCGGCTCCAGACTGGAGAGCCTCATGTACGCATCCATCTCCTCATTTAAACACTTGTTAGACATGTAAATTACTTTTTTAAAGATCCTGTAAGTTGTGTAGATGTCCAAAAGGGAGGACAGTGGGCAGCCAATGATATACAATGAGATATATTTTATTTATGTAATTAAAAAAAAAAAAGTGACTATGTTTGTGTTTTAGACTGAGGCCTGCTGGACCCCAGTGGCTGAGACCACGGATCAAATGTAAGTACAGGTTTGTTTATATATTGTACTGTGATATTATCTATGCATGGCTCATGTGCTGTTTACATGTATTAGTATATGCTTTTAATTTATATGGGATTTGTAATTTTGTGTATTTAGTTAGCTGCAGTCACAGGTCTACTTTTACTCCATTCATTACATTACATTACATTACATTTGAGGATCTTGTGAAGATTTCAATGATAGCAAGAGTCTGTACACAGTGGCCTTGATCACATGCACATCATAATCTGATTTCTAGACCTTTAAGATTGCTTCAATCTCATGCAAACCACACAATCTGATGTAAGTGATCAGAAGGACCATGATCAGGAATAAATCAGACGAGTTTGCTTTTTACATGTCATTTAAATAATCGTATAACTCCAAAAAGATTTTGAGTGTGCATGTAACCGCAGCCAGTATTTGTGCAAATAGTACAATTGACTGTTTTTATTACTATTATGTTGTTGGTTACACTTCAGATTACAGCCCAAATGTCATGTGCAATAACATGTGTAAGCACTGGTATTACACTACTAGTAGTACAGTACTAGTATGTATTACGAGGTGCTGACTATAAGAAAGGTGCAAGGAAATTGCACTAGGTGTAACAAAGTCATAAGAGCTGTAATAAAGGTGTAACAAAGTGTAACAGATCAGATAATGGTGTAACACAGCTGTAGAGTTGTAACAGGTGTAATAGTTGTAACAAAGGTGTAGTATAAGTGTAAAACTATGTAGATGTTAGGGACGTAACAATAACTAAAATATCATTTTAGTGTATCATCAAAACTCTTAGAATAATATCTCGGCATTTTACAATATGTCAAGTTACAATATCTGTTGCTTAACAGTATTTAAAAAATAGGAAACTACATAAATCATGCTCCTTTGTTTAATTTTAGTGCAGACTATTTGATAAAATAGCTGTTGTTGAGCACTTTTAAATCTTCATTCTTTCAATGATGACACTAATGATTCACACTGAAGTCTTTTCCAAGGCACTTAAAAAGAGAAAAGAATCATGTTCATAATTGTGTCAGCTTCTCCAAAATATTACAGTAAATATGGCACCATTACATGCATATCGTGACAATATCATTATATCTCTAGTATATGTAAAAAAAATAAAAGATGTAACAAGGTGTAGTAGATGTAACAGTGGTGTAACAAAGATGTGACAGACATACCAAAGGTGTAACGCAGATGTACCAAATATAACAAAGGTGTGGTAGATTTACCAAAGGTGTGACAAAGGTGTGACAAAGGTGTGATGGTACATGAGTTGTAGAGTTGTATGAAAATTAAACACTACATGTTCCATTTCAGCCTTACAAAGGATTCCTGTCCACACCAAGTGCTTTATCGTGTATGTTGTTGTCCTCAGATTTCACACGGCTCACCCTGGATCATACCACGGCATACCAGTGCATCAAGCTCTCTCAAAACTCCACCAAAGCGTCTCATGTGGAACAAGAGCAGGCATACCCTGACCACACGGCCCGCTTCGACAAATGCCCCCAGCTCCTGTGCTCGGAGGAGGTGAAGGAGCGCGCCTACTGGGAGGTGGAGTGGTCGGGGCCCGTGGTAATCGCCGTGTCCTACCGAAGCCTCGCTCGTAAAGGCAACACAGCAACTTGTGGCTTCGGCCTGGGCCCGGACTCCTGGTGTTTGAGTTGCGGCCAGGGGACTTACACGGTTACCCACAAGGGCAAGCGCTTGGACCTGCCTTATTCGTCGTCGTCAAAGGGTCGGACGGCGGTGTATGTGGACTTTCGAGCTGGTTCCGTGTCCTTCTACGCCGAGTCGTTAGAGGAGCTGGTTCACCTCCATACCTTCACAGGCACCTTCATCGAGCCCGTGGTGCCCGGGTTCAGACTGCTCTTCGGTTCCACCGTGAGGTTGTGTGACCTGCTGGAAGAGGAGCCATCCTACGTGTAGAGTTTAGAGTTTATCCATTCTCCTGTAATCCTGTATTGTATTGTAAGTTTTTACTTCTACACTTATCTCTGCCCTCTATTTAAATTTTATATTTACTATTTTTAAAAAATATAAGAATCTGGTTCATATATATAAGGACCAAAATGTCACTTTCCAACATTAAAAACACAGACATGACAATCTGCTGCTTAAAGAGTGAACAAAATGTACCCTATTTTTTTACACTATAAGTCGCTCCGGAGTATAAGTTGCACCAGCCAAAAAATGTGTAATGAAGAAGAAAAAAACATATATAAGTTTCACCGGACTATAAGTCGTGAAATTATTATAAAATCAGAAACCAGGAACTGACATTTCCTGTGGAAAGTCAAGTTGTAGTAATAACAAGAGAAGAGAGAACAACAGACTGTTAACGTCACATATGAACAGTTCTTCAGATAAACTATAACATAAACAACAGAACAGTTTACCAAACTCTCCATCTCACTCCAAATCAATAAATCCATTCAATTCTTCATCCTCGGTGTCACTTCTGAACAACTCCACAACCTCCGGAGGTAAACAGAGCGTCGCTTCCTCTTCTGTGTAGCTGTCATCAGACTCAGCATCAGTTCCAGTTAGAATTATTCGGGTCTTTCTGAATCCCGACAGGATGGTTTCAGTGTCACTGAAGTCCAGGCTTTGTCCATCCATCCAGTGACTTCAGGAAAGTTTCATGGTGCATCCTCCCAGTTGTCATGAAGTTGTGTTCTCCATCCCCACTTTTTGCCAGTTCCTCACAAGTTCCTCACTCATTCCAAGCTTTCTTTCTGAGGCTCCATTACCGTTTTCAGCTGAATGTTTCACTACTTGCAGCAGGACAGAGGCTCTTTCTACAAGAGACATGTGCAGTAGAGTGAAGTGACAGTGGTACAGGAGGAACAGGAGCATCAGATACTGACACACAAGACTAGAACCTCTCCATGCTTCAGTGTGAACATTTTAATATATAAGTCACACTGGAATATAAGTCACAGGAAACACCCAAACCATGAAAAAAAGTGTGACATATAGTCCAAAAAATACGGTAAAACAATGGTCTATTTATGTTTTAGTTTAATAGCCTAATACGTGAAAATACTTGCTACATATTTTGTATAAAGGGCAAATATGATGCTATTTTCTGATCTATGTTATAATGTTTTCTCATCACAAACAGACCAAGAGTTGTTTTTTTATTTTAGTCGCACACATTTAACACACAATCTCTGCATATTTAGGCCTCTCAGACAGAAAACACTTCAAATCACAAATCACTTCAGTCCTGGAATTGCCGATCTTTACTGAACGAAAGGTAAAAGGAGCTGTTAACGTGAAAACTGCCGCTTCATGACATCACAAGATGTAATGGACCATTTTGGAGATGTAGACAGACTAATAATAAAGCATCGACAACATTCTTACTTGACTTAGAGATTCCAAGAATCAATTTAACTTGAATATGTTTGAATTGTAAATTGTAAAAATGTACAGTATTGTGTGTGTTTTTTATACATTTATGTTTGTCTTTGAAAGTGATTCATCTTTAGTGTTTATATAATCATCACTGACGACGTACTGTAGACTTGTTCTAATGCAATGACATGTTTTAAGCAATAACACAATTATGTGAAATCTGTTAAAGCCTCTCTGTGCAGTATTTCAGACAATAAATGTCTATATGTTTAAATGCTTTCATTACTTTGTTGTTCTTTGTTGTTGTTTTTATTGGTCAAAAATAACCAAAAAAAAAAAAAAAAAAAAAAGATTCTTCAAAATAACATTACTCAAGTAGAGTAGTGGTTGAAGACATTGCTTAAAGAAGTATTTTGGAAAAGTCAAGTATTAGTCAAGTAAGATATTAACTTTCAGGATGTAATATTTGATTTATATAAGAAGTGAATGTTATTTAAAGGACAAAACATTAAATAATGCATAGAATCTGGTATTTTCCAAAGGTAGTTCCCAAAAATTTAGATTAGATTTAGACTTATTGTCTTTGTACAAAACACAACAAAACTTTGACAGAGCAAATCTGCAGCAGTAAAATGAATAAATATAGACACGTTCTCACATAAAAACATTAAATAAATAAATGAGACAAACTGAATCATATGTGAAGGAGCGCTTCAAGAAACACAAATGTTCACATCATTTCATATTGTCGACCTAAAGCTTTTGTCAGTTGTAGATTTACTCAAAGTGAGAAGAGGAACCACAACTTTTACTCAAGTAAGAGTACTGTTTTACAGTAAATAAATATTACTCAAGTAGGAGTAAAAGTATGCTGCTAGAAAATTACTCTGAAAAGTACAATGTCTTTAAAAAGTTATTTAAGTAAATGTAATATAAATTAATAAATATAAGTGAGTACTAGTCACCTTTTTTACTTTATTATTACTGTCAGAATCTCAAGAATTCAAGTAAAAAACATATTTCTTCATGTCGTTTGTGCTGAAATGAATCATTGGACACGTAGTTCCCTATGTTTGTAAACTGTTTCTACTGAAGAACAAAGCTTTTCAGCAATAGAACTTATGATCCGATATATAATTGGTTATGGTCAAACCAAACACGTACTCTTGTAGAGCCGCATTGTGATTTTAATTGATCTTCTATGGACACATATTTGCATGTATTGAATGCATGGCCAAATTGACAGCAAAATATTGGGAACTGTGCAGTGACTGGACTGTGCAATATTTTGGACTGTGCAATAATGGGAACAGTGCCATGAGTGGAGTGTGCAATAATGAAAAGTGTAATGAATGAAGTGTGCAATACTGGAAACTGCAATAATGGGAACTGTGTAATATATGGAGTGTGCAAGTATGAAAACTGTGTAATGAGTGGAGTGTGCAATATTAGAAACTGTGCAATAATGGGAACTGTGCAATGAGTGGAGTGTGCAGTATTTTATTGTTTGACCCCCTATGATCCTAGCCTCTTAGGACAAAGGATGGAAATGAGCCTAGTTTACAATTTAGTGTGTTTACATTCATGCATCTCAATCAAATACATAAATGAATAAATAAATATTGTGACAGCTCTCGATATTATTGTGAGACAATTCTGACAATATGATATCACAATATTTTGGTTATTGTTACCTCTCTAATCTTTATGGATCTAACATTACATCTAACCGTAAGGAGGATCCGAATAGGACTTGGGAGAGATCGCTAGATTCCTTAGACATGCATGGATGACGTCCTGTGCTCAGGTCTCTGCACTGGCTTCCTGTGGCTCAGAGAATAGACTTTAAAACAGCTCTGCTTGTGTACAAGTGTCTCCATGGCCGAGCACCAAAGTCCATCTGTGACATGTTAGTGTCATATGAACCATCTCGCACTCTGAGGAGCTCAGGGACCGACCTTCTGCTGGTCCCCAGAGTCACGACTAAACAAGGGGAGTCAGAGTTTCAGGTTCATGCAGCTAAAACCTGGAACAGTCTGAACATGTGAGACAGACTCTTCTGTGACGCTGTTTAAATCCAGACTCAAAACATTTCTGTTTAACTGTGCATATAACTGAAAGGTTTTCATTCCGCACTCTTCTCTCCAATTTATGTCTCTCTTTTTTTATTTTAATCTTCACGATTATTTATGTTTTGATTTGTTTTTATTATGATTTTAATGTATTTCTTATTCTGTAAAGCACTTTGAATTACTTTGTGTACGAATTGTGCTATACAAATAAACTTGCCTTGCCTTGCCATCTAAAACCTCTTCAGGCATGTTTTGGATGCCGGAATAACGTTTAAACATGGTAGAAATCCCTGTTTTTAACACCATACTGTGGATTATTCTAGGAGGCAAAACAAGAAAGTAGCCCTGAAGTTATGCAGCGCAGATTTAATAAAAACAGTGTGTTTGGGCGAGTACTGGAGGCTTGGAAGTACTTTGACTTGAGTTTTCATTAGTCAAGGTGGTGAGGTCAGTTCAACCCCAGCAGCATGCACAGGGGGTTACCGCGGCGACGGGCCTGTGTCTGCGCGGGGCATTCAAGGACCCGTGTCTGTGTGGGGCATTCGAGGACGCCGTCTCCATGGAGATCCAGCGGGACAAAGAGCACACAGGGACCGCTGCCATTCTGCATGCAAACTGCGCCAGGCCCCAACACGCTTCAACTCTCCAGAAAACAGCCAGTGCATGAGAAAATGAAATGATATCCTGCCCATAAAACATTCAGATTCTAGAATTCGATGACCTTAAACCTTCAGGACGAGGAGCCGGTATCATTCTACGAGTTTTTGAAAGAAATCTCCAAACTTACGATCCGCAAGAGTTGAACTTTATCTTTATTATTTGTTTGGGATTGGCTCCACAAACTTGTCATATTAATCTTGAGTCCTTTCACGTCTTTTGGGTTGCACCACTTTGTAAAGCTATTGTGAGAAACTATTTTCACTCTTGTTTATTTGTGCGGAGAAGGTTATGGTACACTTTATTATCCTCAGCAATTTGACCTCAGCAGTTAAAACTTCTTATCACTAATGCTGATTTTAAGAACACATTTCAACCCACCTGTACTTTTGAAGCTGTAAATTTGTTCCTGCGTATATTTTCTGTGTTTTTTTTTCTCTATTTACTGAAAGAATAAAGGTTCAGGATGAAATGTGTGCATGTGTGTCATGAACAAAGATGGTCATGTAAAAGTTACGTCTAGAATTCTCCAAAATAAAAGTTATTTAAATTTAACCCAGAAGAATGGTACATCATCTTTAGGGTCTCCAGTAATTGTAAATGCATTTGCAATTTATATATTTTAATATTTGATTTTGCTCTGGGTGCAGGGGCGTCGGACTGGGGGGGTAAAGGGTTCTGTTTATCCACGGCCCTTCGTAAAATTAATAATATGCATTTTTTGGACTATAAGGCGCACTTAAAATCCTTTAATTTTCTCAAAAATGGACAGTGCGCCTTATAATCCGGTGCTCTTTATGTATTCATTCTTGTGCTGACTGACCTCGAACCGATTTT